CCCTCACAGGGTGTCTGTTGTGGGGAGGGGAAGGGAAAGGAGTTTGTAAGCCACCCTGAGACTCCTTCGGATAGCAAAGGGCGGGGTATACATCCAATATCTTCTTCTTCTTCTGCAGTTTGGCGTAGTGGTTAAGTGCGCGGACTCTAATCCGGGAGAACCGGGTTTGATTCCCCACTCCTCCTCCACATGCAGCTGCTGGGGTGACCTTGGGCCAGTCACAAGAAATGTTCCCTCTAAACTGTGGAGTCTTGTGAGCAATAATTCTAATTTGTGAGCGACTGTCATTAAAGTTGTGAGCGAGCAATTTGGCTACTGCATAAATTAGTTTGCTCTGGAGCCACCCTTCCTGAGCTGAGACAGAAATCTGTGAGCCGGAGGCTAAAAAACTGTGAGCTAGCTCACACCAACTCAGCTTAGAGGGAACACTGGTCACAAGCAATGTTCCCTCTAAGTTGTGGAGTCTTGTGAGCAAAAATTCTACTTTGTGAGCTACTGGCCTAAAAGTTGTGAGTGAGCAATTTGGCTACTGCATGAATTAGTTTGCTCTGGAGCCATCCTTCCTGAGCTAAGACAAAAATGTGTGAGCTGGAGGCTCAAAAACTGTGAGCTAGCTCACACTAACTCAGCTTAGAGGGAACACTGGTCACAAGTTCTCCCAGAGCTGTTCTCTCAAGGGCAGTCCTCGAGAGAGCTTTCTCAGCCCCAACTCCCACACAGGGTGTCTGTTGTGGGGAGGGGAAGGGAAAGGAGATTGGAAGCTGCTCTGAGACACCTTTGGGTAGTGAAGGGCAGGGTATAAATCCAATCTCCTCCTCCTCCTTCTCCTCCTCCTCCTCCTCCTCCTCCTCCTCTTCTTCTTCTGCTGCTTCTGCTTCTTCTGCTTCTCCTTCCAAGAATGGCCCAAACCACTGCCTCTCCCATGCTACTGAAGCTTCGCTTGGACCACTGGCACAGGGTTAGGAGGCAATGCCCCAGCGCATCCCACACCACGGATGGCCACCCAAGCTTCTGTGGCACACAGGTATCCCCTCATTGTGCTTCCCCAAGCAGTGGCTAGTGAACCAGCCCTGCCTGTCTCCATCTTACATGCGCACAAGATTCTTTTGTACGACGGTTTACGGATGCGCACCGAGGCAGGACAGTGCAAATGGATCTCGACGCAATCGTAAGCATCATCGCAGCAAGACCGCTTTGCTTTCCCCCTCACACTGTTTCATCCAGCCATTGCGCTGAACCTGTACCCCCCACACTTCCCGCCTTCCTATCCAGTTTGGTGCATCGCCTAGACAGCTGGGTTCGAATCACGCTCAAACTACGGTGGCTGAAAAATGATCTAAATTAATACTGGTGTTCTGTTTAATGGATGCAGACTTATATTTAGAGAAGGAAGGAAGGATGTGGAAGAAAGGAAGGAAGAGAGAAAAAGAAGAGAAGAAAAAGAAAGGAAGGAAGGACATGGAAGAGAAGAGAGAAAGAAGAGAGAAAGAGGAAGGAGGGAGGGAAGGAAGGAAGTAAGGAAGGAAAAGAAGAAGATAAAAAGAAAGGAAGTGGAAGGAAAGAAGGAAAAGAAAAGATGAAAATGAAAGCAAGAGAGAACAGAAGTAGAAGAAAAGAAGGAAGAGAGAAAAACAAAACACAAAAGAGAAAGGAAGGAAGGAAGAAAAGAGAGAAGAAAGAAAAAGAAGACACGAAAGATAAAGGAAGGAAGTGGAAGAAAAGATGAAAAATGAACCAAGAGAGGAAGGAAGGATGGATGGAAGGAAAGGAGGAAGGATAAAAAGAAAGGAAGTGGAAAGAAGGAAAAGAAAAGATGAAAATGAAAGCAAGAGAGAACAGAAGTAGAGGAAAAGAAGGAAGAGAGAAAAACAAAATATGAAAGAAAGAGAAAGGAAGGAAGGAAGTGGAAGAAAAGATGAAAAATGAACCAAGAGAGGAAGGAAGGATGGATGGAAGGAAAGGAGGAAGGATAAAAAGGAAGGAAGTGGAAGAAAAGATGAAAAATGAACCAAGAGAGGAAGGAAGGAAAGGATAGAAAGAAGAGAAAGAACAAGGAAGGAAGGAAGTAGAAGAAACGAAGGAAGAGAGAGAAAGGAAGAAGGGAAAAACAAGGAAGAGAGGAAATGAAGAGATGGAAGAGAAAGGAAGGAGGGAAGGAAAAGAAAAGATAAAAAGAGAGTGGGGGGGAAAGGAAGAGAGAAAAAGAGAAGAGAGAGAATTCCTAGGGAAGGAAGGGTTAAAGTTTTTCAGTCTTCGGCCCCTCCTGCTTCTTTGATTAAGAAAACTGAAGGGAGGGGGAAAGATCTTAAAAGGCCGGTGTTCAGGTATCACAGTCTAGTTCTTTGCTTTCCAAAGGAGGCGTCTTTGAAGAAGCGTTTGGCGGCATCAGAGGCAGCTGTGGCTGAGGTGCGCGGAGAGCATCTCTTTTGCTCTCCCCACGAGTGTCTCTACCGGCTGACTCTGTAACTACCGCTTGGCGCTTTCTCTGCCCCTTGGGAATTCTCAGGAGAGAAAGTGCTTCTTGGATCCCCCTTTTTCTCTCCCCCATCCTCCGCTCTCTCCTGTCATCCCACCTTGAACAGAAGAATGATTGCAGAAGTCAGAGAGATTATTTTTGGCCTGGGATTCCTGCTTCTTTCTTTGACTCCGGAAACAGAGGCGATACCCGGTAAGTAACTAGAACAGGAGGGCTGGAAGGTGATGGGTCGCACGCACGTACACGAAACGACGACTGAGGGGTGACATGATCGAGGTTTATAAGATTATGCATGGGAAAGAGCAGGTAGAGAAAGAGGTACTTTTCTCCCTTTCTCACCATACAAGAACTCGTGGGCACTCCATGAAATTGCTGAGCGGTCGGGTTAGAACGGATAAAAGGAGGTCCTTCTTCACCCAAAGAGTGATTAACACTTGGAATTCACTGCCACAGGAAGTGGTGGCGGCTACAAGCATGGACGGCTTCAAAAGGGAATTAGATAAGCATATGGAGCAGAGGTCCATCAGTGGCTATTAGCCACAAGGTATAGATAGGGACTCTGGGGCAAGTGATGCTTTGTATTCTTGATGCTTGGGGGGGGGCAACAGTGGGAGGGCTCCTAGTGTCCTGGCCCCACTGGTGGACCTCCTGATGGCACCTGGTATTTCTGGCCACTGTGTGATACAGAGTTTTGGACTGGATGGGCCTTTGTCCTGATCCAACATTGGCATCTCTTATGTTCTTATGTTAACCCACTTTGAATCCACTTTCAGTGCATGTTCCAACTGGATTTTTACTTGTGTGAACTGGCAAAATGCCCCCTCTAAGCTGTGTCGTCTTGTGAGCAAAATGTCTACTTTGTGAGCTACCGGGCATTAAAGCTGCGAGCGAGCGAGCGATTTAGCTGCTGCAGAAGTTAGTCTGCTCTGGAGCCAGCCTTCCTGAGCTGAGACAAAAACCTGTGAGCTGGAGGCTAAAAAACTGTGAGCTGGCTCACACTAACTCAGCTTAGAGGGAACGCTGGTTGGAACATGCCTTGAAAGTGGATTGAAGGTCGATTGTTTACGGTGCTTTCACACACACACACACACACACTAAACAACGCACTACCAATCCACTTTTTTAATATTTATAGTTTTTTATTGAGATTAACTTTAGGAATATATAACAAATAGCGTAAGCGTAAAAGAACAAAGTACAAATACAACACAAACATATTATTCTAGCTTGTAACTTGATGAATAAGCTGACAATCCTTCTGACATAGCAATTTAACACGCTAAATATAGATTTCCTTTAAACTACTTTGCATTTCATTAAGGATTCCGATTGATAAACATTCGATGCACTTTGCAAGTGGATTTTGATGGGTGTGAAACAGCAAAATCCACTTGCAAACAGTTGCTAAAGTGGATTGAAATGGCATTATTTGGCACGCGTGAAAGCGCCCTTATGTGGTCATGCGCACGAAACAAACCCCTTTCGATCCACTTTCAATGCACTTCCCACCCGGATTTTGCCAGTTCACACAGTAAGAGCGGATTGGAAGTGGATTATTTAGGAGGCGTGACTGCAGACGTCTACCCTGCATCGACAAGAAGCATTATTCAGTCGTGCCGAGCAGAAATGGGGAAACGGAAAACGTTCTCTAGTGGTTCTACGTTGTACAGAAGAGCCGGTTACGAATTCCTCCGGAGCGCAGTCAAGTTACTTCTGTACGCCTCTTCTGGCAACCCCAAACCCATTGAAACAAATACTCTCCCGTTCATTTTACCAGGCGTGCCCCTGCAGATCTTCTGGGTGGATTGTGCTGTAAAGGAGCAAGATGCATTTCGGTCTGTTGCACATTCATTACTGTGGATCTGTGGGTTCAGGCTCTCTCTTGGCTCTCTCTTGATGAATGGCGCAGGGATAACCTTGGTCGTAGCCATCTCTTTCCTTCAACTGCAGCTTCCCCAGGGTTGGTTCTCCAGCCCAGGCAACTGAATTGGTGCCCAAGTACCACAGGGGGCTCAGTTAACTCTCAGCCATTGGTGGCACTGGAGGTGATGGGCATCTCCCATCCGTTTGGTTGAGTGGTTGAGCAGTGGAACAGACTGCCTTGGGAGGTGGTGGTGGGTCCTTCGCTGGACGTTTCCAAGCGGAGGCTGGACCCAAGTCTTTCGGGTATGTCGTAGGGCTGTCTTTCGGCTCTGCTCCTGCAGAGTGCAGCTTCGCTGGACGTTTCCAAGCGGAGGCGGAACGACCATCTCTAGGGTATGTTGTCGGGCTGTCTTTCGGCTCTGCTCCTGCAGAGTGCAGGGGGCTGGGCCGGATGACCTGCAAGGTCCCTTCCGACTCTAACATTCTGTGATTCTATGATTCTATCAGCTTGTACTCCACCAATCCAGACTGGTAGATATTAGCTTTGATTGTCAGCTGCAGGGTTCATTTCCTGCAGGAGCTCACAGGAGCGGCGTTCCGACAGTAAAGAGCCCAGGGGGCGGGCACATGCAACAAGCCCCGCCCCCTGCTCCCAGCAGCCCTCAGTCAGAGCAAGAAGCAGCGAGGTAAGTTGCAGAGCCCCCCTGCCCCCCCCAGTCCAAAACAGTCCAGTGGCACCTTTAAGTCCGAGTTTTATTCAGGTACAAGCTCTCCTTCCTCTGCGAGGACAGATCTGCACGTTCCGCCCCCCAGCAATCCAAAACAGTCCAGTGGAGCCTGAGTGGTGGGTGTTGCCTTCTGACACACTTCCGGTGATGTCAGGGGGTGTGGCATATGCAAATGAGTTATGCTAATGAGCTCCTGCACCTCTTTTTCTACAAAATGACCCCTGGGCTGTATCTTTGAAAACAAATGTATGCCTCGGCCTTTCTCTGATGCCACTCAGAAATCGGGGACGAAGGCAGGAGCCCTAGAAAAAGAAGGGGGGGTGCTGAACAAAACACCTGTAAACATTTTGTGCCCTGACCTGGTAGATCTCAAAAGATCAGCGTGGATGACCTTGGTTAGTGCTTGGATGGGAGACCGCTACAGAAGCCCAGGGCTGCTACGCAGAGGCAGGTCATGGCAAATCCACCTCTGGATGTGTCTTGCCCTGACCTGGATGAAGCAGGCTGGCCTGACCTTGGCAGATCATGGAAGCTAAGCAGGGTCAGCCCTTGTTAGTACTTGGGTGGGAGACCACCGAGGAAGCCCAGGGTTGCTATGCAGAGGCAGGCCATGGGAAACCGCCTCTGATTCATCCATTGTTCTGACCTGGATGGCCCAAGCTGGACTGATCTTGGCAGATCTCAGAAGCTAAGCAGGGTCGGCCCTGGTTAGTACTCGGATGGGGAGACCACCAAGGGAGTCCACGGTTGCTACGCAGAGGCAGGCAATGGCAGACCCCCACTCGACCTCTCTTACCTCGGAAACACTACAGGCTTGCCCTAAGTCAGCTGCAACCTGATGGTGCTTTCCACTGCCACCACCATATATGTTGAACGGTGGTCAGATCACTTTCTTCCAGCCTCCCATGAACTCACCCGGATTCCTGGTACCCCAAACTAGATTTCTATAACTTGCTGTGTACCATGAGAGCCAGTTTGGTGTAGTGGTTAGGAGCGCGGATTCTAATCCGGGAGAACCGGGGGTTGATTCCCCACTCCTCCACGTGCAGCTGCTGGTGTGACCTTGGGTCAGCCACAAGTTCTCTCAGAGCTGTTCTCTCAAGGGCAGTCCTCGAAAGAGCGCTCTCAGCCCCACCGACCTCACAGGGTGTCTGTTGTGGGGAGGGGAAGGGGAAGGAGTTTGTAAGCCTCTCGGAGACTCCTTCAGGTAGTGACGGGCAGGGTATATTCAGGTAGTGACAGGCAGGGTATATACAGGTAGTGACGGGCAGGTTCCTATGTACCAACCAATGTAAGCCACCCTGAGCCTGCTCGCAGAGAAGGCAGGGTACAAAATAATAATAATAATATCATCTCTTCTCTTCTTCATACATTGATTAATCAATTAATTAATTAATTCATAGTATGCCTTCCTCAATGTCTCTCAAGGGAAATTAGACACTACAAATCTATGGGATGAGTCTTCAGATAAGAAAGGCAAGAGGTTTAGGATAACAGAAACCCGAAACAAGCCTAGAATATTAGACACGCAGATCAAAAGCAGAAAAGCAATTACGTCTTTTGATACAATGCAGGAAAATGGTATTACATCATACAACGTAGGAGAATCCTATGACTCCAGTAGAAAACAATGCCTGAATAGCAGGGCGATACATACAGCAATCACAAGCGGGAATTAAGATTGCTGGGGAAAAGATCAACAACCTCAGATATGCAAACGATACCACTCTAATGGCAGAAAGTGAAGAGGACCTTAAGAGCCTCTTGCTTAAAATAAAAGAGGAGAGAGCAAAAGTGGACTTGAAGCTCAGCATCAAAAAAACTAAGATCACGGTATCCGGCCCCATCACTCCTTGGCAAATAGAAGGGGAAGTCGTGGAAGTAGTGACAGACTTCACGTTCCTGGGATCCCAGATCACCGCAGACTGTGACAGCAGCCATGAAATTAAAAGACGCCTGCTCCTTGGGAGGAAAGCGATGGCGAACCTCAACAGCATGATAAAAAGTAGAGACATCACCCTGCCAACAAAAGTCCGCATGGTCAAAGCAATGGTATTCCCAGTAGTCATGTATGGCTGCAAGAGTTGGACTATAAGGAAGGCCAAGCGCCGAAGAATAGATTCTTTTGAACTATGGTGCTGGAGAAGACTCTTGAGAGTCCCTTGGACTGCAAGAAGATCAAATCAGTCAATCCTAAAAGAAATCAACCCTGACTGTTCCCTGGAAGGCCAGATAATGAAACTGAAGCTCAAATACTTTGGCCACCAAATGAGAAGGGAGCACTCACTGGAGAAGACCCTGATGCTGGGAAAGATTGAAGGTCAAAGAAGACGGGGACGGCAAAGGATGAGATGGTTAGACAGTGTCATCGATGCAACGAACATGAAGTTGAGCAAACTTCAGAGGATGGCGGAAGACCGGAAGGCCTGACGGGAGCTGGTCCATGGGGTCGCAAAGAGTCGGACTCGACTGTGCGACCGAACAACAACAACAGAAAGCAAATCAAGAGTAAGAAGAGCAGACCGAGCAAAGATCTGCTTCCCTGCATGCAGAGAGGGAGCATGCAGCACAAACCTTCCTTTCGCTGCCTCTGCCAAAGGT